TATATATTTTTAGTTGTCCAGATAATTTCTTTCTATTTTTAGTAGAGACGGGGTCTCACTGTTGCTCAGGCTGGTCTCGAACTCCTAATCTCAAATGATCCGCCTGCCTCGGCCTCCCAGAGTGCTAGGATTACAGGCGTGAGCCACCCCGCCCAGCCATTATCTGTATCTTGATGACATAACATCAGCCATATCCTACAGTGTGGCATTCAAATTTTGCAATAAGCATCAGTAAGTGTCTGAAGCTATGATCCACCTTAAAAATCTGCATTCCCTTTTTATGAATGGAGATTTCACAATCTATTTCAGAATACTTCTGAAATTATCCTTTTGGTTGTTGTTAAGGGAGGCAGAAACAACTTCTATAGGACATTATTACAGACATATAACAGGGTCAAGGACAGCAATTTTAAAGTTTGGTTTAGGCCACTATGGTAAAATGGGAACATAAAATATTTTCTAAGCAATTCCAAATGTGAGGAAGGACTCACAATAGCTCAGAAAAAAGAATTTTGTTCACAATTCAAGCAATAATAGCAGAAGATACTATATTTAAAAATTATAACAGTAAGAAGATAACCACCATTCTGGCACCTACCTTTGTTTTCTTCTCTGGGCTTGGCGGGAGCTCCTTGTTTGGTGGGGTGGTGATGTCATTTCCGGTCACACTCACAGCAGGCCGTCCTTCTTCGGCCCTGGCTATTCCTAAGGGGAGGGAGGTGGGAATTATAATAAGCAAATGTTTTTCACACCCATTTTGAAAATGCAAGGCTTAGCAAAGACAAACCACTAACTAGCATTACATTCTGGAAAAAAACCCACAAGGCTGTGCGGCTGAAATGTGGACAAGACTCCCAAGTTCTCATTGTGAGGAGGCTAGTTTTAGATTCCACAGATTCAAGGATCTTGTCCCTGTGGAGAACCAATCTAAGTGGGATTAGCACAAATGATCAGTGGAAAGAAATGGCTCTTAAAGTTTGGTTTCCCTTTCCTGGAGACCAGCAAAGGGGTTCTGTCTCCCAGCCACTAGCTCCTGGAGCACATGGGACAAAAACCTCTTCTACCAGAGTCTATCTCTTGGGATAAAGGTTGCCGAGAGATGGGGTAAGAGCCAGATGATCATTCAGTGTCCTCCCTTTCCTTCCTTTTCCTGTATAGAGGACGTGAGATTAACTTGATCTAGTTCTAGCAGTGACCCAGATTTCCAACAAGGCCGAGAAGACCCATGGAACCAGACCCATGGCCAGAAATAAAGTCTACTGCCTAAAGTAGCATAGCCTCCTCTCTGTAGAGAGGTACTCCAGATTTCAAAAGGACTACACCTGAAAGCATTAAAATAGCATGAAATTTATAACCTTGGTGAGGGGAAGGCCTTTCTAACTGGTACGAAGTCTAGCAACTGCAAAAGATAAGTTTGGCTAAAGAAAAATAAAAGTCAAAAGGCAAATGACAAACAGAATATTTGAACCTCATATTAAAGACAAAGAGTTTATTCTATAACTTACTCCCACAAATCAATAACTCCTAAAAAGGCCAATAATCCACTAGAAAAATGACCAAAAGAATATGAGCAGTTTATAGAAAAAGAAAAATGTCTTTTAAAAATATGAAAAATGTCTAATCTTAAATAGAAAGTAAAATAGAAAGTAAAAATAGAAAGTAAAAATTAAAACCACACCAAAATGCCATCTTAAAACTAGCATATTGTCAAAAAAGTTCTAAAATCTGAAAATAACTGTTGAGGACAATATGGGGAAATATACTCAGTAGGTTTGTGAACTGGTACAACCAACAGGCAGGGCAGCCTGGTAGTATCTCTGAAAATCACAAGTGCTAATAAAGTATAGTCCAGAAATCCAATTCTAGAAATTTATCTTAGAGGTATATTTGGACACCAGCAAAATGGCCAGTGTGAAAGGTTTTTCACCAGAGAATTGTTTCTGAAAGGAAAATACTGAAACAACCCAGAAGTCTGTTAATAGAAAACTGGTTAAAATAATATGGCAGAAATATCAATGCAATCTCTAAATCTGAAAAAATAAAGCATGAAGAAACTTTTATGACTGATATGGAATGATCTATATTAAGTGGGGGAAAAAAAGCAAACCGTATGTATAACATGAAACCATTTGTCTAGAAAAGGGATGGGGGAAATATACCATTGCAAATACACTTACATACACATTTTAAAAGAACCTTTGAAAGGATCATAATTAATGATTAAACATGACAGTGTTTGTGGAGGGGGAGGGATGAGACACAGTCCGGGGAGGTTAGGAGGCTTAAAAACTTTTTGAGAAATAAGTACAGATTCACAAGAAGTTGCAAAGAAATATATAGGGAAGGTCCCTTGTACCCTTTCACCCAGCTTCTCCCATTGTTGACATCCTACATATCTATAGTACCCTATCAAAACCAGGAAACTGAGACAATCCACAGAACTTACTCAGATTTTTCCAGTTTTACATGTATTAATACTTGTGTGTGTGTGTGTGTGTGTGTGTGTGTGTAGTTGTATACAATTTTATCGCATGTGTAGCTTTGTGTAACTACCTCCAACAATCAAGACACCCAACTATCCCATTACCATAGGGCTCCCTCATATTACCCCTTTATAGCCACATCTACCACCCCCCCTTCTCTAACCCCTAAATTTTTAGCAAATAGTATGTTCTCCATCTCTATAATAACTTCCAGTACTATGTTCAGTAAGAGTGGTGTGAGCAGACATCCTTGCCTTGTTCCCAGTCTTAGGGGGGAAAGCACTCAGTCTCTAACCATTAAAAGTATGATGTTAGCTGTAGGCTTTCTATAAATGCTCCTTATCAAGTTGAGTAAATTCTCCTCTATTCCCAGTTTGCTGAGAGTTTTATTATGAATGGTGTTGGATTTTGCTTAATACTTTTCTGTTTATGATTTTTCTTTGGACTTTGATGTGGCAGATTACTTTTATTTATTTTGATTAATGAACAGCCTTGTATATCTGAAATAAATCCCACTTGGTCACTGTGCATAATTCTTTTCATATATTACCGGATGATACTTGCTAATTGTTTTTTTAGGAATTCTTACGTCTAAGTTTATGAGAGATATTGGTCTAAAGTTTTGTATTTTTTTTTTTTTGGCACTGTCTTTGTCTGGTTTTGGCATAAGGATAATACTGACCTCATAAAATTGAGTTAGAAAGTATTCCCTCCTCTTCCATTTTCTGGAAAGGAGTGTGTGAAATTATTCTTCAAATGTATGATAAAATTCTCCAGTGAAACCATCTGAGCTTAGGACTTTGTTTTCAGGAGCTTTTAAATTATAAATTCAATTTCTTTAATAGTTATCCAGGTTACCTAGTTCATCTTGGCTGAGTTTCGGTTATCCGTGCTTTTTTAAAAATTAGCCCATTTCTTCTAAGTTGTTGAATTTGTGAGTGTAAAGTTGCTTCTAGTATTCCCTACTATGCTTTTAATGGCTTTAGAGATACACCAATTTCATTCTTGTCATTCGTGTCCTCTTGGTCAGTTTTGTTCAATGTTTATTGATTTTACTGATATATTTAAAGAACGAGCTTTTGCTTTATCATTTCTTTGCTATTTTCCTGTTTACAATTTCACTGATGTCTGTTTGCTCTGGATTTTTTTTTTTTCCTTTGAGACAGAGTCCTGCTCTGTTGCCCAGGCTAGAGTGCTGTGGTGTCAGCCTAGCTCACAGCAACCTCTAACTCCAGGGCTCAAGCAATCCTCCTGCCTCAGCCTCCTGAGAAACTGGGGCTACAGGTGCTTGCCATCATGTCCGCCAAATTTTTTCTATTTTAGTAGAGGCAGGGTCGTGCCCTTGCTCAGGCTGGTCTCCAATTCCTGAGCTCAAATGATCCTCCCACCTTAGCCTCTGAGAGTGCCAGGATTACAGGTGTGAGCCACTGTGCCCAGCCCCTTGCCCTAGATTTATTTTGCTCTTCTTTTTCTAGTTTCTTTTCTTTTTTCCCCCCCACTCAGACTGTGTCCTCTCTCTCTTACTCCTCCAAAAAGAGAGAGAAGAATGATCATTAATGGCAAACAGCAGTTGCTGCGAAGCAACACCAAGAGCTGGCTCCACGCTCTGGAGAGAACGCTGTGCCGCCTCCTCGTGGTTTCTATTTTCTTGATGTAGCAACTTAGATTACTGATTTGAGACCTTTCCTCTTTTCTAATGCAAGCATAATTTCCCATCTCAGCACTCTATAGCTGCATTCCACAAATTTTGATATGTTGTATTTTCATTTTCCTTCAGTTCACGTGTTAAAATTTCCTTTGGTAATTCCTCTTTGACCCATGGATTATTTAGACGTATACTGTTTAATTTCTAAGTGAAGGTTTTCTTGTGGTCTTTCTGTTATTGGTTCCTAATTTGATCCCATTATGGACAGAGAATATATTCTGTATAATTTCAGTCTTTTATGACCCAGAAACCATCTTGGTGAAATGTTCAATGGTTATTTGAAAAGAATAAGTATACTTCCACCGCTGGAGATCGCCCCCAAGGTGAGGGGGGACCCAAAAAACAAAGAATATGTGTTCTGCTGTTGCTGTTAGGTGAAATTTTCTATAAATGTCTGTCGGATTTTTGTTGTTAGATGGCACAGCTAAATTCTCTTATATCTTTACCAATATTGTCTAGTAGTTCCATCAATTACTTGGAGTGGGATGTAGAAGTCCCCAGCTATCATTGGCTTTGTCTATTTCTCCTTTCAGCTCTATCAGTTTTTGTTTCACATAATTTGAATCTCTGTTTTTTGGTGTGTATACATTTAGAATTGCTGTTTTCATAGTGGATTGATCCTTTATTCTTTCCTCTGGTATCTTTGTCTGATATTAATATAGCTACATCTTTAAAAAATATTAATGTTAACGTGATATATCTTTTTACATCTTTTTACTTTCATCCTACCTATTCCTTGTATTTGACATACATTTCTTTTTTTTTTTTTTTGTGAGACAGTCTCACTGTGTTGCCCCGGCTAGAATGCTGTGGCGTCATCCTAGCTCACAGCAACCTCAAACTCCTGGACTCAAGCAATCCTCCTGCCTCAGACTCCCAAGTAGCTGGGACTACAGGCATGCGCCACCATGCCCAGCTAATTTTTTCTATATATTTTTAGTTGTCCGATTAATTTCTTTCTATTTTTAGTAGAGACGGAGTCTCGTTCTTGCTCAGGCTGGTCTCGAACTCCTGAACTCAAACAATACACCCCTCTTGGACTCCCAGAGTGCTAGGATTACAGGCGTGAGCCACCACACCTGGCCGACATACATTTCTTGTACTTAACATGTACTTGGGTCATTTTTAAAAAACCTACTCTTCCAATCTTTGTCTTTCAATTGTAATATTTAGACCATTTGTATTTAAAATAATTATTATTAAATGTTAGGGCTTAAGTCTGGTATTTTATTATTTATTTGTTCCCTCTGTTTCTCATTCCTCTGCTTCTCTTTTCTTGACTTCCTTTGCCTTCCTGTCAGTTACTTGAACATTTTTTAGAATTCCGTTTTTTTCCTAAAATTTAAAAATTATTTTAGACATGGGATCTCACTCTGTTGCCTAGGCTGGAGTGCAGTGGCATGATCACAGTTCATTATAGCCTCAAACTTATGGGCTCAAATGATCATCCTGCTTCAGCCTCCCAAGTAGCTGGGACTACAGGCACATGTCACCATGCCCAGAAGGCATTTTAATAT